CACTTCATTTTATGGTTAATCATGCCAGGAAAGGCATTTCCTTTTTGCTAGCATTTTGCTTATATTCATGTTGCCTTTTTACTAATTAAACCCAAGATTAAAAGCAGTGTTCAGAGAGTGCTTTTTTCAAGGCAAGATTCTGAGCAGCAATGAAAAGCCATTTGAAGACAACACGTACCTCCGGCTCTCCAATGGGCGCCCATCACTAGAGATGCTTCGGGGGATGTTGGCTGCTCGTTCTGGGGGTGGCATTTTCCCTTCTTTCCCAGAGCCAATCCTAGATGTTACTGGACTTTGTATTTGGGATGGTACCTGAGTCACATGAGGACCCTGTCCTTTGCTTGCATTTCGTTGCCACTTGTTATTATTTCTGAAGGGAAATTTGAATTCATATGACATTCCTTCATTCACTTTGTATTCCATCACTGGCATACGGTAGTTTTCTGAAGAGCTCCTGGAAATAAAGAAATTTAACATGCTGCTAAAAAAAGTAAAATAAATATACCCTGTTCACAAGGATAAAAATCTGAAGACAGGAGTTGAATCAATTCTATGAAACAGTAAATGTAAGATTTTGCTTTTTAAAAACCTATTTAACAGATTTTGATACTCTCCATCTGATTACTGGGTAATAAAAGCTAAGAAGTCTGCTAGAAGGGCTATCTTCCCTTCCTAATTTTAAAGAAGTCATGGGTTTTAGAATTTACCTGCAACCAGACAAATAAGACCTGAAAGGTTTCTTCTTTTTGAGATAAATCTTAGTGATGCACAGACATCCATGAAAAGACAAGATTCCCATGAAATAATGCATTACACCTCATTTTCAAACATCTTTGGCTGTGTACCTCAGCTGATAAACTTGCACACTGTGAAAACACCTGCTAAAAACTGTAGATGCCAAGCCCAGAAGATGCCCTTTGCTTCCTGCGGATGTACAGGAACAGCATCAGCACTGGAGTAAAACCCGACATGGGCTATGCAGTCCATGTAAGATGCAGGGCAAACTTCCACATACATGTAAAACGAGAGATTTGGAAAGTAGATGTGACCTTCAGCTTCAGTGAGGATAATTTTGGTATTTCTATTGACAAATGGATAGACCTCTATTTAAGTGAGTTTTTTATTGCTATTACAAAATGAAACAGTTGGTGCTGAGGTCTTACTGTTCACAATATACATGGTTTTGTGGTTTTACTTTGACCTACCCCCTAAGTCTTGACCTGCAAATTGAATTAGCAGCTGGAAGGCACAAGGTGTGCTTCTGACACACATGTAGTTCAGCTTCATCTGAAAGAAAACCAGTTTGCACGCTCCTGGGCCACCACCCTGCGATGTGAACCACTGCATGGCAGATGGACACAATCAGGAGATTTGTTTTCAGAGTACACTCACAACCTCACTAAAATGTTGAGACCCTTTTTCTTTCTTTTCTTTTCCTATTTTATGTCTCTGCTATTGTTTCCCTTGTGATTATATACTTCAGTAGTTTGCGTTTCTCTTTTTTTTTTGGAGACATAGTTACAGTTTAAGAAGCAAGAGTACACAATTCCCTCTTGCTGCACTGTCTCTAACTTCAAAGTCAGCAATCAGTCCACTAAAAGAGTTCAGTGGCAATGTTTTAATGATGAGCTTTTAGGAGAGCTCTAACCATAACAAGGTTTGCCTCTCTGCATCAGGGTGTCCAGATATATTTTTTTGTCTGGTACTGACCTTGTGTGCCTGTTGGCAAGTCATCTTATCTAACCACACCCCTGCTCTTCCTCCAACTTCATGCCAATCAATTTATGAGGACAGGGAATGCTTCTCGTATCAATGTACTATACCAAGCAGAACTGATCTTCATTTTAGTTACGGTCTGTAGAAGTTACTGTAGTAGAAATACTAAATGACCTCCAGAGGACACAAAGGACTGTAATTTTGGAAAACCGATTGCCAAACTTCATTTTAGTTACGGTCTGTAGAAGTTACTGTAGTAGAAATACTAAATGACCTCCAGAGGACACAACAAAGGACTGTAATTTTGGAAAACCAATTGCCAAAAGAGAAATTGCTTTGTGCAAAGATTTAATTCAAGTCTCTAGCAATATACGTAGGATAGCTACAAATTGAAGACACAGTTCCTAAACGTTAATGATTTTGGACACAGCAAGCAGGATAAAGGGTAGATTTTATAACTACATAATAACCCACCATGAACATTTGCTCACTACAAGACAACAAAACTCACTGATGCTGAGGACAGTATTTTAAAAAGTGCAGTCATTTCTCTTCCTGCTATGAGTTTGGATACACTAAAGCTAAGCCTGCTTTTGGCTGTACTTAATTTAGTTCAGGAATAATAGGATCTGTGCTTTCCACATAGATTTTTCTGCTCTAAGCCTTTTGCTGTGATTGCAGCTGAACTTTCCATTTGCTTGGGCTGCTAAATACTGTACAAAAGCTTTCCAAATACCTCATGGGTGACCTTATGCCACTGCTCATTTTAATCCCTGACATGTATTAAATTTTCCACTGACAACTAAAGGACAAAATTCCTTTTCTCTCTGCTCCTATTTTGCTACCAGTTACAAAAGGAGTTAATGCAGCTCACAGTAAAAACAAATCATGAATTATTTTTTTATACAAGACCTTTGCTTGGAGACACAATTTCACATCAACATAATAAATATGCATTTAAGTTCAGCTCCAGTCTTCCTAAGTATACAAAGATTTACCATGTACCCCCAGAAAGACAGTGCCCGAATAGAAGACAGCAGCGCAAAACACTCTGTCTCTCACAGCAAGGAACATATTGAACTTTGATAACTGTACTTGCTGCTTCTTGGCACATCTAGCGTAAACCTTGAGCTAGCCTGCAGGCAAATTTAGTCTATTAAAGATCATTCCATTTTAATCATACAGCATTTGCAAGATATTAACGCAGGATGTCAGGAATATGGGAATCAGGTTCAGTGATGTGGCTGAATGCTACAGACAACTGCAGAGAGTTAAGATGGGAGTAGTAAAAATCATAAAAAGCTTTAGACAGTAGTATGAGTTCTGGACAAATGGATGGACTTAGTGTCCAATTTAGAAAAAACACGTATTAATGTTTATTTCTGATTAAGCTATACTTTCAAGCTATAAAGCAATAATACAGTTGACACAAGCCTCAGGCTTAGCACAGATGGGAAGTGAGAGGCAGCAAGATCTACTACTGAGAAAAGGGGAATTACAATTTGCACCAATTTCTCTGGCCAGATCCGTATCTTTGATAGATGGTTGTCATTTACAGCCTTACTCATTGGTGAAAGGAGAACAATGTAAGTCTGTTCATAGTGTTCAAGAATTACATCCGCAGACATTGCAAACTACCCATGAATTGGAAAACCAGGATGGAAATGTACAATTACTTTTGATATACCATAAACCACAACTTTCAACAAAAAGTTGTTTGATTTCCATGTGAATTTAAAGGATGTGTGAGGATCTTTACACATTTTATTTAACTGTGGCGTTCGACAAATATTTTGTGGGGCCTGAAGTCCAAATCTTGGCAGTTTTTCCTGCTCTCCTCTTTCACCTTACAGTACTGGAATGCAACAGCTATACCATGGGGTTTGGAGGCTAACCCTTATTCTGTGGTATTTCTTTCTACCCCAACCCTACAAATAAAGATATAATTTCAGGCCAAATGTAGCTATTACACAATACCTGCGTGGTGTGCAGTCCTCATACGGAGGGACAATGACGACCTTGACTGTTACTGATGTTCTCAGCAGATCAATCATTTGCTCGTGGCTCAGAGTGGCTACAGCCACCTTGCAGATTTCCACCAGCCGGCTGCCTTGCCGCAGTCCTGCCTGCCACGCATAGCCGTAGGGCTCCACGTCTGCCACGATGCCTTCATAGTTCACGTGGAAGCCAAGCTGACCCAGACCATTCCTACGCAGAGTCATCTCCACTGTTTCACAGCCCTTAGTCACAAGCTGTGAATTGAAATGGAGACAGAATTTAATGCACGGTGAGACCTTCCGTGATAACAGAGAGCTTCATTTTTGTACAGTCAACCAACTCCCAAGATAATGGTGTGACACAGTCAAGGAACATGTATCACAGTCCTAGGTGTGTAATCAGCTGGGTCTCATCACTCAAACTAGTCTTTTTCAGTCTGGTTACTCAAGTTCTGCTTTCAAGTTTTTACTAAAACCACAGGAATTTCAGAAAACACATGGCAGAACACAACAGATAAACACATGGAGTTACACAAGCATCTCTACATTTTTCTGATGCATTTCAGTAAGCAACCATGCTACGTTTCTAGTTGTTTTGGTAAAGTCCAAGATTACTTTCAGTCAGAACGTGGCGGCATGCAGCTACTAAACACGGCGCACTGGAGCCTGTGCCAACTCCTCTGTGTACCATTAGCACGAACACCGTCAAGAGCAATTCAACAGAACCAGGAAAGAGGGAAAACCAGGCCATTATACAGCTACAGTTGTGAAATTACAGGAAAGACAGTGAAACACAACACATTCTTTCAGAATTAATTGGATAAAAATAAGCAGATGTTTTCTAGACAGATACTATGATTCACTGCATTTTTAGTTTATCACATGCATTCAGAGGATATCTGAAGGTTGCAGCAGGGACTGGGACTGCATCCTGCTGGCAACATAATATGTCAGTCTCAAAGATATTACAGCTTCATTTGAAATAAGATAGGACAAGCCTATAAAACAGAAAGAGAAGGAAAACAAGGAAAAGATATAAGGTGACACTTCTGTATTTATCATGTTGGGAACAATTTATACATCTGAAGGTCCTGCTTTCTTTTCTTTTTTAAGTATTGAGACGTTTTTGACACACACAAGATGATGAGGTTGGCTGGTATCTTATAAAAGTCAAAGCAATATAGGATTTTCAGAAATAAAAGCAGAAAAGTCCTTCTAGATTTAATGATAAAAATTACAACAGACTTGCAGATCCCAAGCATTACCAAAACTGAAGCCCTAATTGGAAGCCGGGTGAGAAGAGAAAGCAAAGAAGGGGAACCAAAGAAGAGAACACATTCTAACCTCCAGCCTTTTGACGATCTCTTTGATATCATCAATGTTGCTGATGAAGCTCTCCAATGACACACATTCACCTCTCTCATAGAATATTTTGATGTTTGTGTCCGTTGAAGTCCACCCTATCACATCTCTACAGGAGCAGTTGAACACCACACTTTTCGTGTCCTGTTCAATAAGGACTACAAACTCATTGGAGATGCCCAGGAGACAGTCTATTTCCATACCCTTGCTGTAATCCTTGGCATGGACACTCCATACAATAGCACCAGAACTATAGATCTCTGCTCCCGGATAAGGCTTGGACTTCTCTTTCTTTTTTGAAGCAAGTGAGATGAAGGGGAACTTGCCAGAAGGGTCAATGGGTGTGTTGGTGACATTCTTCTCTGCCAAGTCTTTCAAGTATTCTTGACGGGTCCTGGTGGCCATCGCACGAAACTTTTCTGATTTATGAGCAGCATTCTCTGCATTAATGACTTTGGCTAGTAAGAAGTCCCTGAACACATTTGACTTCGGAAATGTGACTCCTTTCGGAATAGGTGGTCCAAAGGATGGTACATCTCTGGATCTTGTCACAGCAACACTAAAAGATCCAAAAGAATAAGGAAGAAGAGGTTATGTCCCCTTCACTGTATAAACAGAAGGTCTCTTATTTTTGCATCTAGGCATTTTTGAGTCATCCTCAGTACCACAGCTTAGAGTTTCAAGTGCAAAATTGTGGTTTTTTTTATAAAGTAATCACTCATGTATGGTAGTTCTGAATTCTGTTTATCTTTACTAGAAACAGAAATTTTCTGACATATACTGTTACAAAGGCTAGCTTATAATTTAGCTACCTAAAGCTGAAAAGCTCATCTGAGAAGAAGACAAAGTGCACAACTAATACTAGAAATCTAGATAAAATAGACACGCTAAAAAGATAAAGTGATCTCACAAGGCCAGTTTCCCTGTGAGAATCATCTTCTGGTGACTGACCGCATATATACACCACACTACTGATTACATTTTAAATTTCTAGATTGAAAACTACAGTAGCTGATATTCCATGTTAGTGACAGAAGCAGACTCCAAAAATACTAGAAATAAGAAATTTCTTAGAAGTTTGCAGAAATTAAAAATAGCTGTTTGCTTTTTCAACTCTTCCTCTTGGTTTCTGCATCAAGTGATGGACTGACAATAAGATCACCGTAGGCAATGCCAACAAGCTGAGCTATTCTGCCTGGCCAATTCTTGTCTGATACAGAGCAGATGAGAGTTGTTTGGCATCACTGAAGGTTTGTCATTCCAGTACAGTACCATTCACTTGGCAGTCTGTCCTCAGAGAAGACAGACAACTGTACTTCAACCATTTTGAGACAAGAAATGCTCCAATAGTTTGCACTGACTTACAGATTTGCATCTGTAAGTAGATCTGGAAACACATTAGCTAATTTTGTCCAAAATATCATGGTAATGGAGTTTTATAAAGAAAAATAGGATAGGGGCCACAAAGGAACACCAAAAATAAAAATTAAGTCACCAAATCTTTAATTATGTCTTCTGGTCTTCAGTGGTGGGGTGTTTTCTGTTTGGTTATTTTTGTTTTTTTAAATTATATTTTCTGTCAGCTGATATTGAAAGATGTCACTGACTGCCATATTTAATTCAAATGTACGCCAATATATCTAAAAGTACACTACAGGGGGTGCTCACAAGGCAACCATCTGACTCTTGATGACTCTCAGGGGTCCTAAAGGATCTCTTATTAAGAGATTGAAGGCTAAGCGTTAAATACAAGTATGGGATGTAAGGAAAAACTACCTGTGACATTTTGTTTGATTACATTTTCAATATCATGAATCACAGGGATAAGAATTTAATCTTTAACATATGCTAGAGTTTTAAAAAGTGAACGGCGTCAACAGAGAAGCCAGACTTTAAAAGTATTGTTTATCTTAGTTGAGAGGGAGAATCACTGGCCCAAGACAGTGCTTGATTTTATTCCTTTTATGTAGTTTATAATATAAATTCCAGTACTTTTTTATGCTATATGGCTTCCTGTTTTGTCTAGAATTATGAATCTATGAAAATGTTCCAAATAATTCAGTTAAAAGAGGTCAAACTTACTTGGAAAAGTTTCCTAAAAAACTTTTCATAATAAAATTCTATAAATCTAACTCAAGTGTTTGCACTGAGCAGGGAAAAAAAAGATTTTTCCATCCTAAAGACAGTACACAGAACATACAATGCTTTGGTGGTCTCCTGTATTAAAATGAACATTGATACTCCATTTTTTGTTCCTACCTGCTCCCCCTCCCCTTAAAATGTAAGCATGTAGCATCACTAAAGCTGGAATTCTTAAATCTTATTCACTCATAACCAGTAAGGTTCTATCCCTCGTAGTTGTGAACACTTGAAAAATGAATGTAATTCACAAGTCTGAAGGCCAGAAACAGAACCGAGATATTTAACTTTATTACAGTATAAATCTTGCCCATGCTTTTTAAAAGGAAGAAATTGAAAATATGTAGTCATTTCATTTAAAGTAATAACCAAAAGCACATCTTTCTGTCTTTGTAATACTCCATTGAAAAGGAAAATGCAGCTATAGCCCTTGCAGGTGTGTTTCCTACTCTATTTCAAAATCAGTTTCTGTACAGAATAAGAGCTGAAACATATGTCTAAAAGTTTAAGAACAAGCTAAGTCTGCATAAATTATGTAGCGAGGAATTTGTCAATAAGCTGCCTTATGAGTATCAACAGGAACGTACCTACTTTAAGAAAGTTAATACATGCACCAAGTCCAGCATCAGTTCTGGAAGTGCTGCGTGAGGGAGCTTTACCAAAAACTTACAGGGAGGCTAAAGCCTTCAAACCTTACTTACTATACTCACTTGAAAAATATGAATACACCATCTCGGACACTGCAGTTAACCACCTTAGCTCTTCCTCTCAACAAGCACTTGACTGAATGAAGCACTTAGGTGAACATTTGTATTTCAAGAAAGACAAATTAATTCAAAGGCTACCTCACTTCAAGACAACTACTCTAAATCTACTACTCTTACATTTCATATTTTAAGTAAAGCAGCTTTAGAAAAGTTTGCTGAGATCAGTCAACATTTAAAAAAAATACATTAAGAGTTCAGGATGTAACAAAGATTAAAAGTTTCACTGATTGTAAAAAGACCTAACTCAAAAACATGATTTCTGTATGCTTTCAATTTGGTTAAACTTATGCTAAATAGGAATCTTATCTTGCAAATCTTTGTATGTTACTGTCAATTACCATTTTCTCTATTAATCACATAGACTTTAAGGTGACACTAGGATTTTTTGGCTGCATAATGCTCTGGAATTTCTTTGTTGGACTGAAATGACATAAGAAATTACGGCATTTCAGACAAAATATTTTAGACAGCTTAGCTTCCTTCTGAAAGGTTAGTCATACTTTCTCACTGTCTTCATTTCAAAAATGAAATAAGCTCAGATGCCCCAATTATCTGAACAAAAAAGTGAATTCATAAGAATCAGAATAGAAATACTCCTCTAGCATACTCTCAATGAAGAGAATAAAAAGGAAGTGGGAACAGAATTTAAAAATCATTCCCAAATGCTTTTTTTCTCTCTGTGTATATAGATCTATCTGTGCATGTGCGTACACACATACAAACAGCATTAATTTCCTCATCGTGTATGTTTCCTTTACATACTCTTGTGAATTTAGAACACTTTTTAAAGTGAATAGACACACATGTCCCAAAATCTCCTCAACCCGTCTTTCATTATGTTTCCCTACTGAGAACTGAAGAGAGGAATGACACCTCCCTTTGCACTCAAATTCCACATTTCCAGTGCAACTGGTGATAGGTACCTGTAACAAACGCTGTCAGTGCAGGGACCGTGCACTCTTACAATGACAAAGACGTGCTGGAAGTGGGATCGAATGTTCTTTGGGCTGAATGGTTGTGCTCCAGGTTCCTGGAAAACTATTGTCACAATATCATTTCCAATATGTCGTTTTCTCAGAAGCTTCAACAAAAAAGATGCATGGGTTAAAACACAAGTCTTCTCACATTTTTCAATTATTTATTTCTCATTATTACTAATTACTTTGTTCAATGTTTTACTCCAAATTCTATTTCAAGCTGCAAACAGAAACAACTGAGGATTTATGACAAGTATCACAGTTAGTTATTTATCTAATAAATTTCAGGCATTGGCATTTTCATTTTTCTAACTTTCATTTCTACATGTAACATAGGGGAAGATCAAGTTAGGGAAAATTTTAAGCGAAAGGAGGAGGAAGAACAACAACATCAGCCTGCTAGTATCAGAGTAATCAGTGATACATGGAAGGCAGAAAACATTCCCCACTGCACACATATTTACAAGCCAGAAATAGGTTCTATTTCAAGTTGAAAATAATTGTCACTGTCCTTAAGACACACTATAATAATTTTCCAATAGGCTTCTTTCAGTAAATCCAAGACTACAGTAAAAGAGAAAGGTAAACCACAAAGTAGTATAAGATTCTGTGCATGTTGCAATTTGCTGAATGCAATCTTTAAAGTGCAATGGACTTCGCTGCAGAAGGTTGAAAATCTTGTCAAGTACACTCTGGTCCTTTTGACATAAGGTATGAACACTTATTTATGTAACACAGATGTGCTACTGACATTAGTGAATAATGTCAGTAGCATTTAGTGTCAACAAATCTGTATCTGTATCCTTTAATGTCATTAGCATTTAATGTCAGTAGCATTTACTCAAACTTCAATTTACATTGAAGTTTGCGTAAATAATGCATAATTAAATAGAAAACAGTCCCATGGCAAAAAAAAGTCTACTTATGATGTACCTACAATGATCTGCTTTACTCACCTCCCTGGCACCGAGATGGCCAGTTTTACTTTTGATTCTTTAGCTGTTTCCTTTGCTAGTAACACATGAAAGTTGTCATAAATATTCAATAGTTCATCTGCTCCTGAGATGGAGGAAAAATTAATTCTAAATAGGCATGGTCCATCTTACCTGTTGCTTGTTGTTTGGAGTGTATGGCAACATAGTAGAAACATGGAACATGATTTCATAGTCCTTGTATGTTGTGTATAAAGAATGAGTACCTGTTGAATCAGCTTCAGTTAAAGAAAAAAAGAAAATAAAAGCTTTATGTGAAAAAAAGTTTAAAAACAAAGCTTCATTATTAAAGAAAATCATCAAGCAAGACAAGAATTCCTACTCATCCCTGATGCTAGCTGAAATGTCAGCAAGTAAAAACTTACCCAGAGTTTATTCACCTGCCCAAGTAAACAACACATATAGATGGCACGTATATTTATTTTTTTGTACTTTTCCCAATGAACAACTTGTTAGGAATAGGGAATTTATACCAGAAAACCCTGAAGAAAGCCTATTTAAGCATGAAAAATAATAGAGTCTGAAATAATTTTCAGACACCACCCGCTATCTCCGGCTAATCAGGATGATATAGAACTGTAAGGAATGCAAAAAGGACTTCAGAAAGGAAGGTGGACAGATTATGTAAATGAATACCGTGATCTCATGCATAAATAAATATAAATGGACATGTAATCCACAATGTATGAAAGAACAGAATTGATTCTCTTAAACACAAATGTCAGAACTCGAAATTAACTGAAGTCAGACAGAATTGTCACTAAAACAGGTGCTTTATGGATAGGAGCAAACCCCCAAGGCTAGCATGCTTACAGCTGATGATGGAAACAGCCCACAACAATGACATGATGATGCTGGTATATTAATCAAAGGTACTCTCACCTGTCTTGGGTTCTGGCCACCCTATCTTAAAAGTTATAGAAGAAAGAGAAGGGATCCAGAAACAGGCCACAAAAATAATTATACGTGGATGGAGAGACTTCCATGTGGAGAGAAAGTGATAAAAACTAAGATTATGAAGTTTAGAAACAAAAAAAGAAGAGGGGATATTATTAAAGTTTACAAAGTGTTGAAGACAACACTTGATTATAGATAAATTGGGAACTTCTGCTTTTACTTTTCTTTCTCAGAAAAAAAGAGACCTTGAAAAATGTTCCATTAATTTAAGTAATAGCACATTTAAAGCTGAAATAGTAAATTATTCTATTAAATATAACTGCTGTCCACAGTGCAAAAAGTCCATTTTTGAACAGTATTTTAAAAATAACTATACTTATATATGCAAAAAAGCATCCTTGTTATTTGAAGTTATATAAATATGCTACTATATTGTATAATTCCAGCTATTTATAGTAATGTATTTTAAAAAGCTGTTAAATACTAAACCTTGGCATTTTTTATTACCAGAGAGATCATGTTACTAAGGAGATACTTGCTCTGAGATTTGTGAGGCATTTACACCACCATAAATATACAGTTTATTTACCCAGATTTGGAATATAAGCTTTGACAATAAGTGTTTGTTCTGTCAAATTCTGACTGAAATAGAGGTAGCTTTGCTGCAAATGAAAAACCACAACATCATCCATAAAACAAAATGGAAAGTTTTCTACATTATATCCGCATAGAGATCGTGCATTTCCAAATCATCTACATAGAATAAAATGAGAATAAGAAAACAAAAGTATTCCTAGAATCTTATAAAAAAACCAAAATCTCAGTTAATGTTTCAAAGAGATTGGGCTCTCTTTTCCAGCACTCAGCATTGCCATTATGAAAAACTTGCTAACTGATAAATATTTTCCTTTTAATGCTAATTAGAACAGAAAAACAGCTGGAGTGGAATCATTTCATCCTGCACTTGGTTCACAGCAGCCTCTATTGTCTGTCTGATCATCACCACCCACACTGCAGGAGGCAGATGCACCTGAAAGTCACCTAAATAACAACACAACTCCTTACTGGCTTTTTTTTGTCTAACTGTAAATATGCTGATCTGTACATCATCTTTCATAAACAGAGCATACAAACATATTACAAAAAACTGGAAAGGGGGAGAAGGTGTGAAAAGAAAGGGAAGTGGGTAAGGAGACAGACCAGGGGAAGGAAGCCCGCAAAGGAGGGGAGAGGCCCAAAAGGGTTGGGGGGAAGAGGAAAAGAGTAAAGCAGTTCTGACAAATAATACGCTAGAACATCATCTATGCATTTAAGACAAACTTTCAACTTTCCTGGATGGAGTTCATTTCAGTCAGAAAAGAGTTCTTTCTCAGAACAGCACTGGTTCTGCAAACTAAGTAATAAGGCTACAATCCAAATGACACGTTTCATGATTCCAATTATATCCAAGTACTTCACAGCTTAAATCCCCGTTATTTAAATCCAACTACAAACACCAGTCCATATCCACTACAGCCTGCGCATCTTTCTCAGCATTCAGATTTCTTCTTTCTTACAAGTGCAGAATGCATTTCCTGAAGTACTCCACAATCATTACAGGTGTTTGCTTTAAATCAAACCACTGCCACTGCAGTAAAATCCAAGACTGCGCACTGGAATAGTATCCACCATTTCCAGGTCAGAACTGTAAGCCAGCACTGCAACCTGCTCTGATTTCTGCATATTTAAGAGGCCCAAGGAATCTACAAATCCATCAGCACCTTTGGACACTGAAGACATCCCCCTCCGCAGTTGTCAGCATACCTCTTGATGCTGCCGCCTCAGACTCATCCCATCGCTGGATTTGGTTACTTAGCTGAGGACTCATCTGATCTTCTTTGCCTTCCATCATTATCCCCCTTTAAAAACCCACCTTCTTCCGTCCTTCCAATGATTCCCAGCTACCTTCACAAGGACTGTCTTAACAGACTCCCATTCAAGTGGTTTTTTTTCTCAGAACTGTGACTGAGGCCAACAGCACAGTGCTGATAAATTCACCTCCCTGAAGCCACAGGACTTTGTCAGCCTGCTCCTACAGCAGCTTGTAAAACCTCTGCACTAGAAAACTATAAAAACCAGTATGAGCAGAACATATAACCCAATGTTTCAAAGGAAAATGTGTTGCAAGGAACTGTAGGAAAAGAAAATTGAGAAGGCAGGAAAAGAAACAGCCATTGCTACAAACTGTGGCAGTCCTCACAACCAAAGGCACAAGAACAAGAAGTTTCAGAGCTCAGGGTTGTTCCCATCTACCTCTGCTGTTAACCAGCTCTGCATTACTCCTACCTTCTCCTTGTTATTGGCCCAAACTCAGCACCCTTCAAACCCACCCTCCTTTCTGTTATGGACACAAGGGTTACACCAAGCACTCACACAACTTCTGTAACACCCAAGTCATTTTCAGATACTATTTCTGAGGACAGAATCCTTTTTGTAACATACAAAGGAATGTGTAACACAGAGGGAAATGCAGATGGACTTCGCCCCATCCAGCTTTCTGCTTCTTAAGTACTTGAGGAACCCCTGACCTTTGGCTATTGGCCCACCAGTGAACACCTCAGACCCAACACTAAGTTTATTCTTACTTCCATGTGGTTGAAAAGATGCCAAATACTACAAATTAAGAAGGCAAACTATCTGCATTATTTAAATAGAAACACTGGGGTTTATTGACAACCCCTAAATGAAATGTTTTTTTTTTTTTTTTTGAAGTCCATTCATTCCCTAGGTTTTGAATCTATTTAGTAACTCCTGTGCTGTTTTTATATTCTTCTCATGTCTTAACCAGCAAGTCACACAGTATGAACATCTAATCCAGAAAGCTACCATTATTAGCAAAGTCTATAAGCTCAAATAGATAATTCATAAACTCCTACAACTCACATGAATCAACCTCCTTCATCTCCTGCACCAGCCACTCCGCTGGACACACACCAGGTTACCAGGCCTGGCGTCACCCACCTGAGCCCATTTACCAACTTAAAATTCTTGGAAATAAGACTAAGTGAGGGGGAGGGAAATAAAGCATGTGTCACAACCAGAAAATAAAGTGAAATGACAGAAGCTATGATTTGAAGGATTACTGCAATGTTTATTACTTTCAAGTGATGCCCATGAACTTCCTGGCAACCGAGGGTTAGATGACATTTTCAAGCTCTACTTCCTATCCACAGTCTCCAGGCTGCCAGGAGATACACCGCTTCCCCTCTGGTAATTCCAGATATATACAAACAAAACTTGAAAAGTAGCAGCGCTTTTCCAGCGCTTTCCCACAGTGGCACTGGCAGAAATCCAAAGCCAAAGCCCTTGAAGGATCCAATATACTTAAACAGGCTTTCAGTTAAAAGGATGTATGAGATTCCCCCTTTCAAAAACTGGCTCTGTTACAGACACTTACCAGTTAGGCCCCTAATTCGAAGCATTTCTAAGAACAACTGTTCTGAAACTGCCTTTTGCTAGAGCAACTTTACTTTTCAAAATTTGCATAGATTAAAAACATCTTGTGAAAATTTCAGGAGTACATATACAAAACAGCTTCTCCCCACGGTGAGAAAATCCTTCATCATGTCTTACATCATGCATCCGCTTTTCATAGGCTGCAAAGCATTGTCAAAGGTATAGCAACTAGCAAAGTAGCCTACACAGCTCTGACCCTTCTTCAAGTTAATGAAAAGTCACTTGTTTTTAAGAGCATCTTTGCAATCAACTGTGCTGACACTGAACAGAACTTTTATGCAGGAAATTTCCCGAGTAATGAGAGTGCAAGAACTATTTCATGACAACAGAAGAGCACAGAGCTGGAAAAGGGAGAAGCTCGCTTCCTAGCTATAGATCTGGCTGTTTCAACAAAACCCTATACATCTACGTCATGGTCAAAATCACAACCTCCTCCTTTGCAGGTCTTGCTGTGTTGGGACCAAGGCACAAAAGATCAATTGCTTAGGGTAGCTTTTGAAGATGTATTGCCTGTCTGTATTCTGCTGTTCACAAATTCCCCATACCCGAGATGCAGCTCTTGCGGCCATCTCTGGTCTTCAGCATTCTGCCTACCAGAACGTGTTGTTCTGGTTTTTTTTTGTGGGGTTTTTTTTTTTTGTGGGTTTTGTTTTGGGGAGGAGGTGTTTTGTTTTTTCTACTCTCTATGCAGAATATGCGATCTCCAAATACAGCTATCCAAAGAACTTAGTGTTCTGCCCCCAAAACACCACCTTCTCTTCCACCACTCCCAGTCTGCGCTTTGTATGCTGGCAGAAAGGAAGGCATAGCACCACCAAGATCAATTACGGAAGTCTGTTGCCATCATTCACATTTGCTGCTGTCTAAGCCTGCTCATTAAGAACTCGTGTATGCTGTGTAATTGTGTTTCCTCAGTGAGCCTGCAGACAACATAACCAAAAGATTTCAGGCAACGCAGGAGTTCCTAAGCAGTTCTAGCTGCTGAGGTCCAGTGCATGTGAGCTTGTAAACCCTGACTGAAAGGGAATGTAGGAAATCCATCAAGAAACCATAAGTTTCCACTCAGAGCATCCCCCTTCCTCTCCAATCACAGTGAGCTGGTCACGTACAGCCTCTCAACTTTCGTGTTTTTAGATACAGAATGAAGCTGGTAGGTCTACCAGGTAACATGAAAGAGATCAGCTCTCAGCATGGAGTAGATAACCTTCATGACAAGAACACAACTCTTAAAACCAGAAGAGATGAGTCAATTAGAAGTCTACATGTGTCCATTCAACAGGTGCTAGATTGTAGTACATAAAATCAAAACCTGACAAAATTATTTCCCTGAGTCAGAAGCAACAAGAAGGAACTCAAACATTACTGGAAAATTCTGCTGTTTAGAAGAAAATTTCAAACAAATACTTCAGACACATTTTCAGCTTTCATGGGCATATCTGAGCAGATGAATCAACTCTTAATCATACAACATTTACATCTACTAGAAACCAGTGAGTGTGGACTGACATCAAAAAAGGTTGGTTTTTTCAGCAGTTTAAACCAGAAGAAAGAGAAGAGAGGATTATACCTTTAGCAACTGAAAGTAACAAGGAGGTCACAATATAAAACCAAAAGCTATGAAATAAAAAATATTTTCTGTTTTCCATACACATTGATTTTTGACATAGCTTAGTTTTGTAACCAATAAAATAACACCTTGGAGCTGAAGAAAAGGAAAACCTAGCTTGAGAATTACTATATAAGGTATTTCCAGAAAAGGCAAGGAAATATTGCAGCAAGAAAGTGCCTGTATGTCACCTGGAATTGGGTATATAATCCTAGATGCTAAAATAAAAGAGACTCAGTTCAAACTTGGATGAGGGCATAGGAAGGCTACCCAGTAATAACGCATGAGGGGTGGGAGCAGAGAAATCCACATCTCCCATAGCATTAAGGGTAACATCACAGAAGCATGGAGGAGACAACTGCAATGTGCAAATGCACTCAAGGGACTATGTACAACAGAGGGAATATAAGCATTGCAACTGAAAAGAAAGCTGGCTCCATGGGAAATGTGTGCAAAATAGGTATTAATTTAGGTTTAAAACCACAGGAAGTTTTATAACCCTCTGAGGAACAATAATCAGGCTGATCAAGAACAGCCTGAGGAGATGGCAACGTGATCCTTCTAAGAATCAAGGACACAAGGTAGAACAGTGGAGCACTAAAGCCCAGCGAGTTACTGTACTTCTGACAGCAGACCCATGACAAGAGCAGTTTTTCCTGCACTCAAGTTGATGAATGCTTTTCAGCTTTCATGAATCAACTCCGCATTTAATTTCCTTTGCTGCAAGTGGGCAAAATAACAAAGGATTTCCATAGGAGCTGGTTAGTTCCAAAACTCAAAGAAAAGGAAGACAGGTCAAAATTTCCAAGTATTTAAAAACAGATTTACAAATTGAATATAGCCTGCACTAGCTGATAAACAGGTATTTCACAAGCTTGATTCCAGGAGTAGGGAATTCATTTTATAGATACTGTCACCCAAGACCCTCTTTCCACCGTGTTTTTGTTGCAATATATTTTACAGTTAAAGCTCATGATATAACTGCCAAGGGCAGTTTAATTTACATTACTCTAAAGAAAAATCAGAGGTAGGAATACATTTGATAGCAGACAAAATTGCCTGGAAAAAAAACACATGCAACAGACACAGCAAAAAAGCAATAGATCAGCTCAAAGGTGGAGTTACATAGATGGGTTCTCAAAACTTTTGTGACAGTCTATCAGCATACCATTAAAAAAATTATGACATACCAACTGTATTAATTACTCTTTAGACAACACACTGATGATGGATTTGCAATGCTGATAATGGTTCCATAGTTACTGGTTTCTTGTTGCAGCTTTGATAGTTTTGTACCAAATCAGTACAAAAATCCAATAATTAGCAGAGTTGAAAGACCATATGGGTACGGGTCAAATTACGTACTTGCTCTGCTTTCACTTGTAATTATTGAACAACTGTCTTCCTATAGCAAAGAAGTTACTCTTAAGAACTCTCTACAACAAGTCAGTTAGCAACTGTGTGATGTATTTTGTTCACTTAAGGGGAGAAAAAAAACACAAAGAAAAAGCCTTACTCTTTGTATCCAGCTGAGCACGATACTTTTCAAATCCCTTGAGTCGAACTCGTTCTCCCAAGAGCTGAAGGAACTCTTCAAAGGCTGGACCTGCTGCTTCATTATTATACATTTCCTCTTCTGTGCTTTGCCCGGCCTTACAGTACATGATACCCACTTTAAGCTGGTAACTTAACTGCAAAGGGAAAAAGATGAAAATCTTGTATGTATACCAAGTGATGCAGCAACTTATTTATTGAATTCCTTTCACATTTTTTAATGAAACCCATAATTCACAAAAAAAAATACCTAATTATCAATCTAATTTCAAATGAAATACTCTCATTGGTTTCCACTGTAGTTGCCTCAGTGCCATATTTGACCTGAACATGTCAAAATGCTTTTTAAAGTAAAACAAATGTTAACATTCCTTATATTCAGGAGGACAACACCACAGCTTGGCAAATTGTGAATGTCTTACACTAAGCCACATGGAAAGCGTTGGCTAAGAAATGCCAGGAACTTGATTCTCACTCTTAGGCTGGTACCATGGTTACTAGCCCATGCTAAGCCTTCCACACAGAAGGGTAGGGCACAGCATGTGCTCATTCCTATAATAAATGACAAAATTAACATTGCCTCACTTAAAAGAAATAAAAATTATTCACCTATTAAAGCATTCACCTGTTAGCAATGCTGAAAGAGTCCATGACATTCACTTGGCCTTCTCTGACTTAAAAAAGCAGTAACAAAGAAAACAGCTAAATGGAGAAATGCTGGTAATACTTTAAAGATACTATTTACTAGCATAGACCTTCAAATATATTTGTGCCTTTTCCTCTAATTTGGTGTTTGATGTTCCTAATACAGCACAAACTGAAAATGTGAATACAGTAATTGATTACCCAACCATAACTGTGATTCTTCAAAGCAAACTGCTCCCACCAACTCCAAATTGATGCACACACAAAAAGGACCACATCTGTTCCCTTAACATCTGGACTACAGAAACAGAAGTTAAAGGAGGAAAGCAAGCAGCACCCACAGCCATTTACTACCATCTCCAAAAGCAATTTCACAGGCAGGAACTCTGACTGGCAGAGCGCAAAGGAGAGCCTTGGAGCTTACATAATTCGTCTAGTAAAAATGCATACTTATTGCAGGGTAAATCATCTCTGCTCCTACACACTGATTTCTTCAGAGGCTCCATTTTAAATACATACCAAGCAGATCTGTCAGAGCAAAATCACAGTAAATTCCATCAAAACTGCTGAGATTTACAAGTTTGGGATACAGGTTAGTGAGAAGTGAAAACAGTTATTTGCAAAGGCACTGGAAGCAAGTCATCTGAATACACTGTGATTTGCTTTCAAAGCTTCTATCACTGGTTATGAGACAAAAGATTTTGGAACTTGTGGGAAGATACAGACACATAATTAGACTGAAATTCATTAATTTTAACTTATTATCTTTACAATAGGATAATTTAAAAGCCCTCAGAAGTGGTCTGTCTCAAATTGAAGTAAAATTTAGAATTAAAAAACGCTGAAAATTGCTAGTTCACTGCATTCTTCTTTTACTACCAAAGATGAATGGAGACAGGGATAAAATATTAGCAGTACAAAAATAAGGAGGGGAAAAAGGAATGGTAAAGTTCAACCTGGCTTGATTACTCCCATTGAAGTTAAGCATGTGTAATGAGCCACAGTTCTATACTGTTTTGTCATCTGACACAATGACTACCTGACTTAAATCTTCTAATTATATCCAAATTTCTTATGATAAAATATCAGTACAGGACAGAATCACAGAATGGTTTGGGTTGGAAACTACCTTTAAAGATCATCTAGTTCCCTCTGCCATGGGCAGGGACACCTCCCACTAGCCCAGGTTGCTCAAAGCCTCATCCAGCCTGGCCTTGAACCCCTCCAGGGATGGGGCATCCACAGCTTCTCTGGGCAACCTGGGCCACTGCCTCACCACCCACACGGGAAAACATTTCTTCCTAATATCTCATTTAATCTATATCCTTTTCCAGATTAAAACCATCACCCCTCATCCCATCACTCCACTCCCTGGTCAAGAGCCCCTCCCCATCTCTCCTGTAGCCCCCTTTCAGCACTGGAAGGCTGCCGTAAGGTCTCCCTGGAGCCTTCTCTTCTCCAGGCTGAACAACCCCAACTCTCTCAGCCTGTCCTCATCTCAATCTGTATATTATAAAAAAAACCAAACAAACAAAACCCAAAAGAAGCCATTCACAGGCTAAATTCCAAAACTGCAACTGAAAGGAAGAAAAGTTGCGCCTTGAAGTAATGTTTCTATGTCCTTTTCTCTCACTGTTAACTATTTGAAATGCTTTCTGTCTAACTACAAAGGAAATAAGCTCTTTCAGCACTAAAGACCCAACAAAAAACATTCACCTTTAAGAATGAAGGCTGCATATTCAGGCACTGAAATATTAAGACTTGAAGCAGAGATCTTAATTGCTGAACAAATACCAAGCACATGCAAACTAATGTTATAATTTATTATGATGATTATTTCAACTCCCCATTTGCTAAAAAAATACAAAATTTCAAAAGAAAATCAGTTTACATAATGCTCAAAACCATCCACATACAGATGGATAGCACATGCCTTTTTTTTTGTAAACCATTCTGCATAACTGTTTAAGACTTAAATTTTCTTGGGAACCACGGGAGCTAGATGAGGTTTGCAAGTACGTTTTTACAATCTCTGCTTACCTAGCAAACTACATGATCCCGTTCACTGCAAGCTCATTGCCTCACAGCAACCAGACTTAGTGCCTGGCCATTTGCTCCCCATGAGCCTGGAGCAGCTGCTGCTGATGCAGCAAGGCAGGAAACAGGAGGGGAGAGAAGGGTGGTATGGCTGCGCCACCCGCACGGGGTGGATGGGGGTGCTACTGGGAGGGGTCCCTGCCCATGGCAGGGGGGTGGGACTTGATGATCTTTAAGGTCCTTTCCCACCTAAACCATTCTGTGATTCTATCACAGTGCCTGAACTGCACTGCTAACTACAATAGTTTCCAGTAATTTTACTTAAATACGTTAGGACTAAGAAAACCATTCGCACCAAGAACACCTACACTATTTAAGCTTCAGTTTGGGGTGAAGGAAGTATTTCCACGGGCATAAACATAAATGGGATGCACAGCATTCATGAGCAACCAAACTGTCCTCCAATGCTTTGCAAATGTCAGCCTAAAACACTAAATCAGGATTATGCAAAGAGCAGGATATGCCTTCTAGCTGTGTTATTTGATTTGAACGTCAAAAAAATTCCTAAGGAAAAACAAGCTGGTATTTCTGAATCAAAAACAAATCTGTGGGAAGAAAGGCATGCAGTTTCCATTATTACACCTCCTCCTGATAAATCTAGGGTCCTTAGAAGTGTAGTAACTCCAAGTAAAAGCTAAAAAAGAAGCTGAAGGATGAATTCTGCTGTGATAAAACTCCTAAAGTAGCATCTTCATTTTGATAATCTAAATATATTTACATATTTACACATGTGGGAGAAATGCACTTCAAGTATTTGTCTAGCACCCCGTGGAAGACAGCCGCTTTATCTTGGATTTAACCAGTTAGCGAGTTTATATTATAAATACGGAATTATATGAAAAACCAACTGACATTTCACAGTATTTCTGTGAACGAAGAATTGCCAGAAAGAAACTTCTACTGGAATAAATCAGTAATTGCCTTGGTATTCAAATATTTAAACAATATACAGAAGTAAGCCTAAAGTTACCATGAGCTCTGCAGTGAAGGCAAAGATTAGTAGATGGGGATTAGCCAGGAAGCTAGCGCAGCCCTGCAGAACGATTGGATTGCTTTCTAACAGAGAACCATTCCAATGGATGTATTTTACTAAACACAAATATCTCCCAATGAAAGAACAGCTAGGTGAGAAGCAATGTGGGCCGTATGTACAGAACGGCAGATGTTACCATGACTCGAGCAATCTAAGGGGAAGTAAGGAACATGCAACTTGACATCCACCACCCAGTACCAAACAGGGGTAAGAAGAATATTCCCATTCTGACAGGGGATGCCATGTGCAAATACTGAAAGAGCAGGAGAGCGCTCAGCCATAAAAGTGATATGAAATCCGGAAAATATGTTGCAGTGAGACTTGAAAAGTGCAATCTGTTTAGTTTATCATAAACAAGACCAACAGATGATTTAATCACTGCATACAAAAACCTTTGCTGTGAAAAAATCTCACACCAAAATGACTCTTAAGATGTAGCAGAGAGATTTCAGATGTCTAGGAGCCAAAAGCAGACAAATTTAAATAAAGAACTGAAAATTCCTAAATATGAAAACAACCAACTGTTTAAAACCTCACCCAAATATTAAAAAAAAGCTTATCTTAACCAAAACTGGTGTTTGTGAATTTGTCTCAATGAAGGGGTTACTGGGTGAATTTAATGGCTAAGTCAGGCTAAGGTCACTTTGTAGTCCTAACTCTTAAATTTACAAAACATTTTATTTGCTCTATCAAAGGGGTACCTGTTCATGCTGTAACAAAACAGTGCTGCACTCTCAGCAAGAAGTGATAAACATTCTGTGTACCTAATTACTAGAGCAGCTGTTACCCAAATTTTTCTGTTAGCTTGGAATTGATAAAAACCACATCTTCTAATTAGTACAGAGTATGCTTCTCTTTTTCAGTCCGAAGTGTCAAATTTCCATTACCACAAAAGAAAATACTTTGATGTAGATAACACAATTTTAATTATCACTTGCCCTTAATGATCTTCAAAAGCTTAAGCAGTAACAGAAAACCACGAAAACCACACTGTACACCATATTGTGGGAGCTTAACAACAAGGTACAATATGAAGTAAGGATAGTTTAATCGTACACTTTTTTAGATATAACCCATTTCTGAAGCCAGTTATGCTAAATTACATTTCAAATTAGGTATTCACTAGAAATAATTTTAGAATTCATTTTTCAAATATAACTTGGACAGATTTTTTTTTTATTATTTGTGAAAATTTTACCATCAACATTAGTGACATTGCAGGTTCTGGATGGGCATATCTGGAAGGTACTGATCTTTGAATCCAGAGGCTCACTTATTGAGCCATGCTGAATTAAATTCCATTTCCTCCACTGCTGAAACAGAAAACTTAGGAAAGAGATTGAAAGATGCCCTTGCGTCTTCAAGTACCTGACAAGCTTGATTCTGGATGAAGGATAGATTAGGTTTAGGCTTTAGTAACAAATCAAACGTTGAACATGAGTACTTGGAAACACTGCTCTAACCATCTAAGGAAAACACTTAGGCTTCCAACTTAGGGATCTCACGCTGTGAAAGACAACAGCTACACCGAGCAGCACAAGCACCTAAAGATTCTGTCCTCCTTTGAGCAGGCTATACGGCAAACCCATCTCCCCTCACCTTACCGGTTCACTGGCTCATTGCAGTGGTGTTCTCTGAAGGAGCCAATAGGCACATGCAGGAGACACAGCTGACACAGAATACCTGAATTTCCAAAAGACCTTTAACAAAGCTTTCTCTTCAAAGAAAGTCTTAAAACCCCCTAAACACCCAGGCTACCAAAAAAAGAACTCACTTAGACATAACAACTGTCTAAAGTACAAAAAGGACCTGAAGAAAATGACCAGCAGAGTAAGGCAGAATCTGAACTCAGACATACAGAATTCAAGACACTTCAGCAATCTGATAGATGATGGGTAGTAAGGAAAGGAAGTGTGCTACCATTACCGAGTTATTACTCTACAGTATTGGAGACTGGCTAGAGCTACCAAAGGAACTTCTGACAGTGGATAACTGGGCAAGAGAATGGCAGATGAACCTCTACCGCAAGTAAAGCTTGAAGTGATCCATGTGGTATAAAGATACCCAACTGTACCTATAGCAATGAACACTGACTTACACCCCTACCAACGGGATCTTAAGCCTTCATTAAAGTACTTTTAGTGTTCAGTAGCAGACAAAGCAAATAAAATATCAGTAATTATTAGAGAGGGAAGAATTATTAGAGAGGGAAAAATGTAAGAAAGTACAGTAAACCAAAATTTTTCCCATTTTCAAAACTGCACCATTTAAAATAGATGTGGGAGAGGAGGAGGGAAACTGGAAGAACTCCAGAGAGAGGCAAAAGCCTAAGCAAAAGTACAGAACAACTTCTATATGAGACATGACTAAACTAGTACTCAAATTGGTAAAGCAGAAGGATAGGATAGGGACATCTATAAAACCCTACAAGCTATCAGGAGCTACAAAAGCAGCACTCCATGCTCATCCTGTTCTCTTACTCTTAGCCAAGGACCCACGGGTGGTCGTGGTCAGTGACAATACTGGGCTGCACCCACCCTGGGCTGACCACATTCCCGTGTTAGTCTGGATGCTCTGTGACAGCCACAGCTACCCATTCTCTTCATCCTCTTGTAGGGTGTTCTTAGGGAAACAGATGGGGTCATGAAACTAACTGGAGGACAAAGTGTTTTGCTCAAGCTCAGCTTCTGGTAGGTATTTATTTGGGGGTTCTCATTGTTTAATAACCAAACCACAAGGAGGCTGACAAAATCTTCATGCTAGTCACTTACAAGCCTGTTTAGAATAGCTATCTTCTCTCCCTTGGGGGTAATGATTAGGTCTTTTTCAATTTTATGATGGCTACATTTCAATGTTAGCATGACAGCAAAAAGAAATAACACAGATGTTAATTCTGCGCAGGAAAGGTTGAACATGAGAAGTAAAAAGGACCAGGAGAAAGAGACAGTCTCAGTCCTCAGAGCTGTTAAATGTCACTGTTGAAGGTTTTAATCAAAAATTCACTTTACTCATGGACTTTCATTTTGCTAAGTCTAGGCTATATATGCCTAATAAGCCTCGGATCCATCTTTAAGAGAGCAGGGAACTATCACCTAATTGAAAACCACTTGTATGAAGAAGAGGCTTAGAATATTTTGCCATGTAGTTTGTTTCAGGGGAAGGAAAAAAAGAAAAAAGGCAGCACTCTGATAATGGTCATGCCAATACAGTAGTACAAAACATTTAGTAACATGAGAGTAATTCTATTCTTGTTATAATAACAATAAGAAAACCAGGACAGAACTCCCTCCTCCCCACAGTCTTTGAAAAACAGTCACTTCATCTCTTTTAAAGTAAATTAAAATGTACAATTGCTATAACATTAATCTAAAACTTTAGACTACTTAGAGCAATTATCTTAATTTCATACATACCAAATATTCTGCAAAACTTTGAGGAAAGACATGCAACATAACTCTCCCTACAGATGACAAATTTAAACGGAGCATTTGAATAGAATGATTCTAATCACTTAAAGCAAAAATGTCATTTTGCAGTTCATGGCAGTAATCTGACAGTTTAAAATAATCTGTTGCATTCTGTAACTCTGCACTTACCCCTTGTTCATCCAGCTTCATAAGCTGCTCTGTGACTTTCGGAGTGTTGAAGGCCAGCCTTAGGCAATGGATATTCAACTCAGGAACCACATACTCCAGCACTTCTTTCAGGGGAAGGCCCCTGGCTGTGCAATGCTTTGCAGTTGACGGGATAGCATCTTCCAGCACAGAGCCTCTTAATGTCATCAGCTAAGCATACAAAATAAAAATAGCTTATATATTGAATCAGACACTGAGAAAAAGTTGTTTAGCAACAGCACTGGAGCAAAACATACTATTCTTCCAATTCTCAATAGAGACTGAGGACATTAAGTAACTTATGTTGTGTGGAACAGACACTGATATGCAAAATGCCACTCTGATAGCTAACAGTAGTCAGAATATTTCAAATGATTCAACACATTTAAGTTTTACAGGAAATTAATACTTGGAAAAGATTAGTAGTAGTATTTCTAGCAGAGCATTTAAAAATACCAAGTATGCTTCTCAGGGCTACCCACTGTCACATATAAAAGCAGAAGAACTAATTTTCTTCCTCTTGGCTTGTTTCAAGCTAATACAGCTCTGCAACTTTCTCAAGCCTTAAGCAAAACCATCTTCAGTTTCCTCTGTATGGGACGTTATGGAATAACTTATTGATACACTTACTTGTATTCTGTGTAATTTAAACACAGAGCATAACCGTCAGGAGATTCCTGGACAATACATATGTAGAGGAGACTGAAATCTATTATCAATCTGCACACAAACCCCATGCACATACCACCTGATTTCACCTGCTCACTTCTAGCTTCATCTACTATCATTCAACTGCTTACCTCACTGGTTCTGAATATGATCCGATAGTTGTACTGAGGTCCGTTTTCTTTGATTTCCTCTGGCTTCTCTCTTCTTATACTCACAGCTACTGGACCCAGGTTCTCATCTGCCCCAAAATAGTTCCAGTGTTCTTGCATATACAAAAAAACCAAACACACACAAATAAGTCTTATTTCTTACACTTCAACTATATAATCATGTTTAGCTGTTGTATTGGAAATAAATTGCCAGCTCCACTAGAGTTCGTAAGAGCAGGACTTCTGTGGTACCAGGATTTCATTCTTGTGCTTCAAGTATCTAATGAGCTCTGTTTATACAAGGCTCAAATTCAACTTCCCACATGCTGTATATCTGCATATATGAATTTATACATTTACAAAAAACAGAAAGTGATCTGAAAATTCAACAGTTCAAAGAAGAAATGTGAAATTCAGCAGAACGGAAAAAAGACGTAACTGCTCTGAGAGGAAACGTAACCACAGTGCCTGAACTGCTATACACAGATTACTTGTTAGTCTTAAAACAATGAGAACTTCAAAACAACAAGAACTTTAAGAGCAGTCTAATACAAGCTATTCTGCTATAAAGATAAAATGTCAAATATTTTAACATCACTATCAAGAACCATATCTTCAAAGATACTAAAAACAGATATTGAAATACATTCCATCCAAAGGGAATGGCAGTCATTTTTCCAATGAATAATCACTTCCAGTGTTAAAAATTTGAGTGTCTCATTCTATTTCTTTTTAAAATTATACTTACCGGTTTTTGCCATACTTTCCTCCAACACACTGCATTGCTTTTCAAGTACATGGTCTCTCCTTATGAACTTGCTTGTGCCTAGAATTACACCTTTGTCTTCACACAGCTGTCTACCCCTTTAAGTCCTTGGGGGCTCTATTCTGTTCCCCAGTATCTGGTATTTTATTACCCTTTCCTCAGTGTTTCCCATCTAAGATTTCAGAGCACGCAAGACATAAAAGAAACATGCTCGCAGCATTATAAAGCCTGCTTCCCACCAAATTCCTCTGCAAGTCATCAAAAGCCAATACTCTGCACAGAGGCAATTAAGATTCAAAATTCTTTTAATATCTTGTGGAATATCCTGTAAATATTGGCATAAGTTTTGGGTGACTGAATTAGTCATGAGTGGGGAAATTATGAATAAATTAGACCATCCACATAAGCCTAATTAAATCTTTATACTACTCCTCTGATATGAGCCCTGTAAATGCCACAGAGATCTTCTGTTGTTTAAAAACCCAGAACATCTTACCAGCACCTTTTTCTTTTTCCTCCTTTAAGTAACTAGCTTTTTTCAGGATGTTTATAGGTCACCAAACAGTTTATAAAATAGTTTGGTGTACCTTTAAGGGTCATCTAGTCCAACCCCCCTGCAGTGAGCAGGGACATCGTCCACTAGATGAGGTTGCTCAGAGCCCCATCCAGCCTGACCTCGAATGTTTCCAGGGATGGGGCATCTCCCCAGTACCAGCACACCTGGAAACATGTTTACTGTTGTTAATGATCTCACTTGTGTATTTCAGCCAGCATTCCGATTTCACCCCAGCAGGTCCAGAATACAAAGCTGCCCTTGGACACAACCAAGCAGCAAGAGCTGAAAGCACATTTACATTACAGCACAAGTGAGAAAGCACGCTGACACTGAAACCTGCCTGACTCTGGCCAGCTACCTACTACATCTATACCAACTGCAAACCCTTCCAATAAAGAAGCACCTCAAAAGAAGAGAATACCAGGTTAAGAAACAGAAGAGACCTTATCTTGGGTCAGAAATTGTCCTTTCAGGCACTGAAGCTAAGAGAAGAAAAAACAAACCAAAAAGCCCCATGCCTGCCATGTAAAATTCAAACAGTGAGGAGCTGAGGGGAGACCTCCTCACTCTCTACAACTACCTGAAAGGAGGTTGTAGTGAGGTGGGTGCTGGCCTCTTCTCTAAAGTAACAAGTGATAGGACAAGAGGAAATGGCCTCAAGTTGCGCCAGGGGAGGGTTAGGCTGGATATTAGAAAAAATTTCTTCCCTGAAAGAGTGATCAGGCATTGGCACAGGCTGCCCAGGGAAGTGGTGGAGTCACCATCCCTGGAGGGGTTCAAGAAACGTGCGGATGTGGCGCTTCGGGACATGGTTTAGTGGGTTGGGTGGTGTTGGGTTGACAGTGGGACTTGGTGATCCTTGAGGTCTGTTCCAACCTTAATGATTCTATGATTCTAACTTCCTTTAAGTTTTTTCCATGTACAGTTAACCTTTTTGTTCAACGCTTAATCTTATTTCAAGGCCAAATTGTTGCAACTTTCACAAATTTATTCTCATGCTGGCTTCCCCTCCCCCCTGCTTTTTTTAGTGCTAGCATTACCACGTATCTCAGGGCTTATAAATGCCTAGACTGAAGACCTCTCATTACAAGTCCCCCTATCAAAATACATCTTCTGAAATACACCCTTAAATAGCCACCTTGCAAATATATCTTTTGCAATATAAGAAGAGCATTCATCTCCTGCAAGTGTAAACATCTCCATGCGATCAGTTGTGTCTGAGCCTGCCGCAGTGAACTGGGGGAAGACTACAATTCATATTACCCCGCAAGGTTCCTCTCTCTCCACAGAGCACAAAGGGAACCTGCACAGTTAGCTCAGGTATACAGTAGAGGAGCAGAATCCAACTTTGGGAACTACCATTATAAAGTTATTTTCCCAGTCTCTGTACAATTTTTTTCCTACCTCTACTAAACTGTCTCCACCAGTACTTTCACATTAAAAGTCTGGACACCAGGCCAGAATACTATCTATCAGCAGGTCAACACTGCTCTGCAAAGGGTCAAATAATATGTTGATTTTAGCATTGTATTTCCTTTACATGCAAATGCTCAATTATTTGCATTCATTGATGAACTTATACAAGACTCATCCATAGATGACACCTGCAAATATTTTGCAATAGCTACGTATTTTGATTAATTTGGATGTCAGTAATACTGCAGCTCACTGATACTTCCCCTGTACACTGTCAAAATTTGAGTTCTATCATCCCAGTAAAATAACTGTAAAGAATGAGCTGCTACTTCCATATTAAAAATCTCAGTCAAGTCACCATCAGCATCTCACCAAATTGGCTCAGAAACTAGAACAGACTATATCAATGAAATGGCTTTCATTTTCTTCTTTTTAAGGCATAAAATTTTAACAGTGTGGGGTTTTTTTTGTGACAAGACTTACTTTTCATTAAATCACGCTGACTGGCATCATTGATGATTTTTAACTAGCAGTTCTTTATTGATATAGTCCCAAATTACCTGCTCTGCATATTAAAGCTGCAATGAAAGCAAACTAAAGGATTACAATACTCTGGGTCATCAGTCTTTATTCTTTACAAATTCTAGGATTATTTCAGTAGTTCTCCAACTCTGTGAAATTTTCCTGGTTTGAGATCTTTAAAAGTTATCGTTGCAGAATCAAAAGTCTTTAATATAAAGTTACCCAAGCCTGCTGACTTGACTAGCTGATCCCACTGAAAATGTCTTTCGTCACTGTCTATCCATTCATACCATCATAACCACAACGATCCAATAAAGATAAAAGATCCAATCATAAAGATCCAATCTCCTCTTCAAACAAGGAATTCTCTGCATCATTACCTGCCTTCATGTTATACAAACTTTCAGTTACAACTGAGTTCCTTGATTTTTTTTCCTATTACACTGCTTTAAGTTTTATCACTATCCCGTCTCTTTCAGATTAGTCTAACGTTTGCTTTAGTTTGACAATACACTGGGTGGTCAACAAAATGTGTTTGGTACTCATAGAACTGCGGGGTTTGGGCACAGCTGATGAGGCTTCTGAAGTACACCTCTTTTCAGGCCAAAACCTCCGGTAAGAACAAAGCCCATCTTGTGCCTGCTAGAACGAACATGAGCACAGGGAATTGAAAATCCAGTTTTATGGCTTAAGAAAAAAAAAATCAGATTCTTCTCTCCCTCCAACCCACTCCATACACATACTGACACTTCTATATCTGGGTATCCCTCACCGACTTCCTTAGGACTAGGTTATGTCCATTTCTAATTCATTTTTACTGCCAGAAAAAGTGACACTTCTATATCTGGGTATCCCTCACCAACATCCTTAGGACTAAGTTATGTCGATTTCTAATTCATCTTTACTGCCAGAAAAAAAAATGCAGACATAATGGTGACTGGCATTGTAGTAGCATGAGGGTGTGCTTTCCCTTAAGGATAAGTCAAGCTACTAAATTGCTGTTTGCCTGAGGGCTGAAATCCCAAACATCCTTCCTCTTCTGCCATTCACTCTCACTGCCTACCTGGCACTAGGCTTTGGCACCTCTGACTACAAGGAAAGCCGATTTGACTCATTAAAACTGGAGAGAAATAACCGAGCAATAAAAAGCAAAGGATTTCTGCTTGGTTAGAGAACCAAACTGGCTTACCAACTTCTCAGAAAACAAGAGAAGTGGTACAAAGAAGGTGGAGGAATGAAGTCTTCCCCCTTTAGTGCTGAAATGCTGTTAAATCAGGTCAGCTGCAACATGAAACTGCACCTGTAGCTGCTGATTGCAAAACTCACCAGGGTGATAAGAAATCAGATTGCTCTGGAGGGAGACAGGTAGGAAGGTGATTGCAGGCAAAGGACTCTAATCTCAGGCTCTCCTCTCCAAATGTACCTCATCCTATATCACACATCTGGCTTACTGTTCTCAGGAAACCAGTATTTCTCCTCACTCCTTTCTCTCCCTCTCAGTCTTCTCAGGAAACCAGTATTTCTCCTCACTCTCTTTTCGAAAGACTGCAGAGGAGGAGACTATGGAAAGCGTGACAAGAGGCACCCAAGGGACAGTGCAGGGGAGGCAAGAGATGGACATATTTCCAGGCAAGGGAAAAATGAGAGATGAGACTATTAGGTGTAACACACAGTCAACATGAAAGTTTTCTGAACTGTCCACTGC